CCTTGAATTGCCTTCCATGAATCTTTCCAGACTGCTTGCCTTCCCCTGGAAACGGCCAGTTTCATAGCTCTTGGGCAAATTCAAGCTTTGTGCCTCTGGCAGCTGCGCAAGGATGCCAAGCTAGGCTCTTGCTTGACCTCTCCTTCCAGCCGAGTTGGCCTTTCCCCAACATCTTTTAAGAAAGCCTCAAATATTTGCTTCCTGGACATCTCAGCAACTGCAGTCCTCTTCCTTTTTGTCTTCCAGATAGTAACCTGAGGCTGTTTGTGAGCCGAGATGGCACGACGACCCTAAGCGGGATTCAGCTAGCAAACAGGTACGATCCTACAGCCGTCGCTTCTCGATACTTGGGGTTTAAGCCTCCCTTTAGGAGAGATGCGGGATTTTCTAAGTGTAAAAAAGGTCAAGGTTCCCCTCGCACATATGTGCTGGTCATTCCCAACTCTAGGGGGTGGTGCTCATCTCCCTTTCAAAGCCGACGAGCGCTGTCCAGAGACGTCTCCGTGGTCATGTGGCCGGCATGACTTAATGCCGAAGGCGCATGGAACGCTGTTCCCTTCCCACCAAAGGTGGTCCCTATTTTTCTCCTTGCATTTTTTACGTGCTTTCAAACTGCTAAGTTGGCAGAAGCTGGGGCAAGTCACGGGAGCTCCCTCCATTACGCGGCGCTAGGGATTCGAACTGCCGATCTTTCTGATCGACCGACTCAGCATCTCAGCCTCTGAGCCACCACGTTACTTTCTAAATGTACATTTAGAACCCCAAACTTGTCCATGCTTCTTTATTTAAGTCAAAATCTCTCCCTTCTGTTCTTTTAAACCACAGATCCATCACAGTGTCTTTCTGTTCTTTTTTTCCATGCAGAGTTTCGTCTGGAGTTTACGAGCCAGTGGTCATCGAAACCCATTAAATGTGAATTAGATGGGTGGTCGTCGTCCTTCCGTCCGTCCCCCACCCCCCGATGGAAACTTGTCTCAGCATTTTGGGTGGGTGGTCCTTTCCTCCCCACCCCACCACCCCATTTTTCTTTTCTTCCTTTCTTTTTTAGTCTTCTCGGCACATAACATTCCAGGCAGGACTTCTCAAATTTTTATTTTTTGTGGGGATCCAAGCACTCCACACCTGCCCAGAGGTACTTCAAAAACAGGCACTTTAGGTGGGATCTGGGAAGGTGTAACATCGACGATCTTCAGAAGGACGTCAGATCAACGTCCGCATGCAACGGCTCCCTCGGAGGGACGGCAACTCTTGTGCCGAGCGCCACAGTTCGGCGAGCGTGGCTTGACCAATCCTTTCTCCGCCACCTAGTTTACTGTGAACACTTCCCTCTCCCGTCCAAGGAAGCCTCAAATGGGAAACGTTGCTAGTCAGGACCGTCGCGAGGATTCAAGAGCTGGGTTGACCCGCATCTCCTCTCTTGCATTGATCCCTCCCGAGGGCTGAGACCCAAGGAACGGAGGGCCAGCTTACGCCACCGCTTTGAACCGGAAGTCCTCCCCACGTCCTTGTCTTTCATAGGAAGCCCCTGGTGTGTTTTTGGCCTCCTCAAAATCCTCCTTTCAAGCATCCGTGAGCCATGGAAAGCTTTGCAGATGTTGAATGCCACTGTAGCTTGTAGTCCTCCTTCTCCTGCAGGACAAGGAAGGGGGATGATCTTGGCCAGCTGCCATGCACGGCGTGACTCTTGAAGAAGCTCAGATATGCCCAGGAAAAGAAAGTTTGGACTTTCCTCAATGAGAACCGCTCTTGAATTTTTTCATTATTTTTTTTAAAGAACAATTGTTTGGGGTGACACACATTCCCTGCTTGCAAGGTGGAGAGAAGTTCTGTGTTCACTTGGTAGTAGAGTAGAAGAATATCCCCTATCAGTTCCAACAGCGTTGCCTTCCAGATGCAAAATACATTGGGTTAGGGTTCTCCTCGCTTGGGTTTTGATTTGAAACCAAAGGCCTTGAGCATCGAGAAGGTATCCGGGTCCTTCTTTTCCTCCTGCCCAAGCGTGGTGGAGAAGTTTCCATCACGACAGGCCAACATGCTCCCCAATCCCTTGCTCTCCCCATAGAGTGTGTGGAGTCTGTGATGAGTCCAAACTCCATAAGCAATGAAATGGGGAGAGTAGCATCAGCGATCATCACTCAACTGTGTGTCCTCAACTGAGTTCTTCCACGTTTGGAAGGCGGGGGTGGGGGAACCCCTGGATTTGTCTTTCCATCGGATGGAGTCTTTTATTGCCCTCTCTCCATCCAGATGTTGAGATTTGTGTAGGGAACACAGCAAGCTTTAGGGCTTGGTGTAGAAGCAGTGAAGCTTATTAGCTGTTTTTCCCCACGTTGTGTTCTTGCGTTGGTCGTCTGCAAGCTACAGCTAGAAGACCTGGGCAGTTTCATCCTAGGCATAGGGTGTCCCCCCAACCCCACCCTTCACTTGTTGCTTTTAGGGGGGAGAGAGACTCAGGTTTTCCCCATTTCAAGAAAGTAGCTTGCCCTTGATAGAGGCACCAGTTGAATGGATTCACACCTACATTTCACGTGGTTTAGTAATGGTTTGAGGGTGTCATCTCCCCCACATGCCTTTAGACGAGTGACTGCTCTAAAACAAGAGTGTGCAAATGGAATTCAGAACAGGATCAGGAATTGGGGAGAGGGGCACACACGGACATCAAAGGCCAGCCCTGTGGTCCCTTGAGTGGTAGCAAAGGAGTCATCAGTGGTGAGGATCTGCCAGAAGTTGGGTTCTTCACCCAACCACTGACCAGAACCCTCCTCTCCTATCTCAGCTGAGCTAGCCAAGGTTTGTATGAGTTGAAGACTCCAACCCAGCTCGAGGCCGCTGGGTCGAGCAGATCAGAGAGCCTCAAACCCTCCCTGACCATCTCAGGCCGATCCTGATCTTCAGCAAAGAGGAAATAACTTGGGAACGGCCTAGAATCTCCAGGATAGACCTGGGAAACTTCCATCTGAAAGTTGGTGGCCTTGTGAAATCCTTGCACCACCATGTCAGAAGAGGTCCTCTGGAGCTTTTCTTGATACCACCATTCATACGTGTGGTTTGCTAAGAAGGACCTGATGAATTGGAAGAAGCCGAAGCTTCTTGAGATACCTCTGTTGGTCTCCAGTGGCCTGTCCCACCAACGAATGGGTGAGGCAGTAGAGCTTGATATATGGTGTTTTTTTCCCCTGGTGGGCAAATTCTGTTCTCTAAAGATATTGGTCACACCTAAGCCAAACACTATCTGGGACAATTAACCAAAAGAGACCAATTGAGAAATGGTTGTTTTTCATTTGACCTCCTTACACCACGGTTAAACTTCTTTCTCCTCCCCTTTTGATTTTTTTTGAAATCTATTGATTTTTTTTTGTCGTTGATCAACCCAGCAGGCTGGTGTAACGTTGTGAATTTTGGAGGGAGGTGTGGGGGGGTGTTGTTTAAATCATTGTTTCATTGCTTATAATAGTATGTTGTTGGGCTGTTGTTTTATAACTATGTCTTAATTTGAGCAGGGAGAGAGGGAAGGAACCAGAGTTTCCACTTCTCTAGTTTCTCGGCTTCGTTGCGTTCCTTTGACATTTTTTTTGGGGGGGGGGGTAGCACTCGCCCATCCAACTGGGATCAAAAGAACCAAGAGGCGGCAGAACTTCAAAACGGCACCCCCGATTGAAGGAAGAGGGCACAGCTGGATTCTGTTCTCCTTCCGCACATGGTGCCAAATATATCGACTCGTTTTGGGCTTGGTTCTGCAGCAAGGAAAAAATAAACCCTCTTGGATCTTTGGAGCAAAAGTTCTCAAGAGGAGCTATTTTTTGGGAGAGGCGAGAAAACACTCCACAAACACACACAAAGGCCCCCCCTCCAATTTTGCAAAAAAAATGAGACCACGAGAGTAATTCATTTCCCATGAAGAATTTGACGATCCCATTGCAAAGAAAGCATCTGTGTAGCTTGGTGCAAAACTAGCACGCTTCTCAGTCCCGTCCCGTAGCGCCTAATCTCTTCAGAAAATTTATTCCCCTTTTTATTATTATTAACACTGCTTTTAATAGTTTGGGTCTCCGCAGTGACCCACTCCCAAATGGCTTGCTTGCTTCTTTTTATGATAATGATGATGATGATGATGCTTCCTTCTGCAGTTCAAGTTCCCCCTTTGTAAAAAATAAAAGTTTTAAAAGGAAAAAAAACGAAGTAAAACTTGATCGAGGCAGCTGGGCTGCACTCATGCTTGTAAAACCTCTGGAAGGTTATCTCCTCCCATTCCCGCTAGGTACGGATCAGGACGCCCCCTCCTGGAGAGGGGATCCACTGGAGAGCAGATCTCTCCTTCAGGTGATCTCAGGACCAGTTAGAAGAAAATGCCATTTCCCCATAAGCAAGTTGGCTACCTTCTTTCTTAGGCTCTGTAGACAGAGCTGGTCTTTCTTAACGAGGCACAATAATTTCTCTTGACACCCAAACTTTGGGACTGTCTGGTTTTCCCCCTTGAAAAAAAAATAAATCTGATTTTCCCCACCTAAGCCAACTTCAAAGCTGCATAACCTTCCCCTCTTCCCTCGCCAGCTTCTAAGGACAAAGATCCTTTTGCCCTGACTCCCAAAATCAAACGAACTTGGAATGTAAAAGAATAAACTCGAATAAATTCTTCACCGTGCTTTAAGAAAGTGACATTTTCTTAAGTTTGCCGTTGCTTTTTAAGCCCATATTTTTCAGGGGGTTGTTAAGAAGAGAGAGAGAGAAAGAAAAGAGATCGCGTTTTATTTTCTTGGAAAGCGAACGAAACTTTTTAAGAGATTCGAAAGGCGCACGCGATTTATATTCAGATATTTCTATTAAGCAGGAAATATATTTTTGGAAGAGAGAGAAAAAAAACCCAGGACTATGCAAAAATTTAAGGTAGAGAATTGCCGGAAGAGATAGTTTTGATGTGTTCTGAACTTTGAAATCTGAAAAGTAGATTAAAACTCAAATCCTTAAAAAGCATTTATAGAAAAGTTTTTTTTTTTAAAAAAAATTCCTTCCACCCACCCCTGTTCTCTGTTTCCAAATATGTTTTCAAAAAGTGTTGAGCCCAGAGAAGAATCCGTCATAGATCTGCACATTCCCCCGTTTTAACTCGTTCTTCTAGTATTTATCATTTTTTGTATTGGATGCTGTGCTGTCTTTGATTCAAACAGTTTTGTATTCTCTGTTACCTGGTAGAAAAGCCACAGTTATAAAAAAGAAGAAAAATCACTATAAAATCAAATGTCGTGACGGTTTTGGAGGGGCAGAAATAAAGATTGGGTTTTCTTTGGTACATCACAATCAGTGTCTCTGCTGTTCTTTTTGTTTCTCGCTGCCGAAATCTTCACACACACACACACACACACACACACACACACACACAGCTGCTCTTAAATCCTGGAGATTATGTGGGTGCAATCAACAATGTATTTTTCAGAGTATAAAACGCTCCAAAGTATAAGACGCACCTAGCTTTTGGGTCACTCTCT